TATAATTCTACATTGTGGAATTGTGGAATTGTAGTGATTACGTCACTCTACATCGTCATACATGTAGAATTGTAGAATTACTAAATTTATCAATGATTAACAATTCTACAACTCTACTACATGGTAGAATTGTAGATCGGATGTAGAATTAATTCTACATGTGTGGAATTGATTCTCCTGCATCACTAGTTACCCTAGTAAAATTTTGAGATATTGGCAATTTTAACAATTTTTATAATAAGGGGCACTGTCTAGTCCTGTTCAAAGCAAACTTTACCGATTTTGTTATTTCCGATATTTAGAGTTTTTTATTAAATTTTTGCGATGATTTCTCGACAACTACTAAACCAAATTTGATGAGCTTTTTTGTTTTATTTCTACCAAACTATAATTAGAATAAAAATTTTCACCGAATTTGATCAAATAGTTATTGAGAAATCATCGCTGGAAGTTTAATAGGATCTTCAAATTTGTATTATTGGTAACTGATCGCACACGTGCAATTATTTTATTACAATTCCAAATTTTAAAATTTGATATCCATAATATATAAAAGATTAAAATAAATTTTATACTGTCACCACACCATTTTATTATAATAAAATGGTGTGGGATTATAATCATAACATATACTAGCGGAATGATCTGGTATTGTAAAATCAGATCAGCCATGTAACTACGACGGTTCCTCCTGTTGTAACAAGGTGCTGTTGCATTGCTTTCTCTAAGTTTTAATTGGTTGACATTTGCAACTGAAATTTCTTTATAATTATATGTATTATCTCTTACTTTGCCAACTCTCTTTATAACGAACGAATTAATGATTCTGGAAATAAAAAAAAGCTCGCTATATAAAATTACTATGTTTTCTTAAGAAACCATAACTCTTTTTATAAGACTAATTTAAATTTTTAAAATTTTAGTTCGTTATATCCAGTGTTCGTTATAATGAGAGTTGACTGTATTATAAACTTAATACTATATTTACCAGAACTATTTTATATATTTATTGTATGAGTGTCGACAAAAGAAAACCCGACAATTTAAATATAGTCTATATTTAAATTGTCGGGTTTTCTTTTGGCGACACTCATATGTAATCCTATAAAAAATTTATTGAAATGCAATAGACAATCCAAGTTTATTAGCTTTTAAGCTTCTTTTGGTTTATTCAATTTATAATGTGTACGCTTTATAAATTTAAGAAATATTAATATTATTATAATTTTGAACTGATACCTTGATTAAAGTTTGCGTTATTTTTCATCAACATTTGCTATCAGCTAATTTTTGATAATAAACATATGCTTTATATTCATCCTTTTCGACTCCGATTCCATTTTGATAACAATGGCCAACTTTATACATTCCATCGACATACCCCATATCTACGGCTTTTTTATAATAAATAAATGCTTTGTTTTTATCATTTTCGACGCCAATTCCATATTGATAACAATAGCCAACATTGTACATTGCAACGTTATTTCCCATACCTGCAGCTTTTTTATAATAAATAAATGCTTTATTTTCATCTTTTTCGACTCCAATTTCGTTATGATAACAATAACCGACTTGAGATATTCCACTAGCATCACACATATCGGCAGATTTTTGATAATAAATGAATGCCTTATTTTCATCTTTTTCAACTCCAATTCCATAATGATAACAATATCCAACACTATATGTTCCGCCGGCACTGCCCATATCAGCAGATTTTTGATAATAATTGAATGCCTTACTTTCATCCTTTTCAACACCAATTCCATTATGAAAACAGTAACCAACATTAAATGTTCCACTAGCACTACCCATATCAGAAGATTTTTGATAATAAATAAACCCTTTGCGTTCATCTTTTTTAATTCCAATTCCGTATCGAGAACAATGACCAAGATTTAATATTCCGCTAGCGTGACCCTTATTGGCTGATTCATTATAATAAAATAACGCTTTATTTTCGTCTTTTTTTACACCTATTCCGATTTTATAACAATAGGCAAATTTCTCCAATCCACAAGGATCATCCATGTTAGCTGACATTTGATAATAAATGAATGCTTTATGTTTATCTTCTTCAACTCCGATTCCTCTTTCATATAATTCACCAAGATCACACATTCCATAAGAATTTCCCATATCTACAGATTTCTTATAATAAGTGAACGATTTATTTTCATCCTTTTCAACCCATTTTCCATAACGATAACAACGTGCGAGAATAGTTAAAAGTATAGAATTTGTTTGATTATTTAAGCATAAATTAATTAGATCATCGGACTTTAAATGATTTTTTTCCAAATATTTTTCGATTGAATTAATAAATTCTGAGTCATAACTTCCTTTGAATACTTCTTTTTCGTGCAATTCGCATAATTCATCAATTGTTTTTTTTTTCGAGAAATTCTGAGATTCATCGACATTATCAACATTGTGTAAGTAATTTATTTGTTGTTGTAAAGGATTAGAGTCTTGCTGATAGTTATGAATTTCGTCTTTAATTGACTGCTTCTTTAAGTTGATTACTTTAAATGCTTTACAAACTTTCATCAGATATCATTAATGAAAAGATAGATGTATGTAATATGCGTAGTTATAAATTTATTAGCGGGTGTTAATAATGATATTTTAAATTGATACACAGTATTTATATCGGGATAAAAGACCGATTATGTAATATTTGTGTTTTAAAGGTGTCATGTGCCAGTTTGTGGCGCAGAATTTGCAACCACGTAATATTTATAAAATTATTTAAAACTCCTTAATATTAATATTATACTAGAGTCAGATATTAACAAATTATATAGTAAAACGCTCAAAGAAAACTTCTTGATAGAGCACAAAAGGAGTTTCTTTTTTGCAGATTTTCGAGAAATTAGCATTAATACGTTACACAGAAAATCAGATTTATGAAATCTGCCCTCATAAACATGGTACACGTTTCAGACGTGCAATCTCTAGAGTTAATGTAACACAATGAAGTAGTACATTAAAGCCAAATATTTCTTAAATTATCGACTTTAATAAAGTACGTACGTACGTATTTTATGTACGTACACATTTTGATATTAACAATTTAGGAAATATTTGATTTTCATTGTTATTTGTCTACAAGGAGTAATTGTAATTTTAGATTTCTTGCGCCGTATACGTACATACGTACGTACATGCTTTTTCCCTCACATGTAAACATATGGTATGTATACCTTTTTAGTTTCCATTACATTGCTTAATTAAACTTCTAATAAATAATAATTATATCTATAATTACATATCTGCCATAAAAAGTTCTTTATTTTAATTTTTAGTGTTATTTTAATTTGGCGTTATTCATTATAATTAATACATACTGCATTCAACTTTTTAATAACTTATTTTTTAAAATATAAACATAAATATTTATTTGCAATAGGTTGATTTTAATTTTGAAATACCAAAATATTTAACGATAATTTATATAATAAATATTTAAATATAAAAGATTAAATTTTTTAATATTACCAGTTTTTGTAAATCTTAGATAAATGGTTTAATGTTGTCAATTTATTTATAAATAATAAATGAATAGACAGAATTATTTCTAAATTATTATTATGTATTGTTTTTTCAATCTGAAGCTTAAGCAAATTTTTATATGATATACAGTCATACCTCTCTTAATGCAACCTGTTGTGACCAAACTTTCGATAACATACATTTAGAGAACAATGAGAAAGATTGCATTTATTGAGGGCATAAAAATATTTGGGCCAAAGTTTGAGGTTGCATTTAGAGCAGTATTACATCTAGGGGGTTTACATTTAGGGAGGTCTGGCTGTATTTAATTTGTTAGTTAAGGTTATTCTGTCGGGCTAATCTGGATAAATAAGAAAACATACTCCGGCTTAGCGTATCCCAACTCGTAAATACAAAAAAAAATTCTCCCTTTTTTATGAAAAACCTATAAAGCCGCCTTTCGCATTCTAATAACAAAAAAATTTGTGACAAATTTTTGGTATACAACATACCCTAACCTCACACTAAATCACCCTAATGCTAGCTGCTAAGGTTTTATTATTTTAAATTCTATTGTTTTGAGTATTATGTCATTAGGGAAGTGTCACTTAGGGCACTGACATTAATTACGTAATTTTTTAAGGGGTGGGGGTTGAGCATATACTATATCAATATCTTATGTTACACAAAAAAAATTAGTTGGACCAAATTATTTTTAAATTGGCCAATCATATTGAAGCTTATGTGGGGAAGGGGGAGCCCTCATAGTAAATGGAAATTACGTAATTAATGGCAGCACCCTTATCATCTGATTTTTTTAAGGGGAGAGGTCCAAAATATCATGCCAATAGATGGCATGTACCGTATAACCGCGAAATAACGTGCAGGGGTGTAATTTCAATTTTTGGCCAAAATTAAGCTTAATTCGGGCCAAACTTCAAAATAACACCCCTGTGCGTTATTTAGCGGTTATACGGTATATTTGTTTATATATAATCATAATTATTTGAGGGAGGGTGGGAATTTTATTATTTACAAAAAATCAGCTAATAAATAGCACTTCCCTTAGGCCGTTCAAAGTTTAACGTTATCCCTCCCTCAGTTAGCTGCCCAAAAAATTAAACAAGCCAATTACAGCACAGGATAATTCTAATAATCACATGATTAAATTTGGCCAATGATATTTTGCCAAATATTCTGTGTTTGTTTAAATTTCCCCTCCCCTCCTGCTTGAGCACAAATGTTGACGTTAAACAACCAATTAACTTTGAATGGCCTTAATAGCATTAAAAATTTTAAAAATTGTAACAATACACATTGTTGCATTTTGTTCCTGGTAAAACATCCAAAAGTTAATAAACGTATGAAAAAAGAGAGAATTCAAACTTCAGAAAAGAAAGGTTTTAAAAAACCGAATGAACGTTAGAAAAAAAAAAAGCAACGATCCAAAACAAGAAAATAAAATTAAAACGAATTACCCAGACTTAAGAATAGATAGTGCCCTATATGAAAAGTTGCCCAAGAAAAAGAAATAACAAAACTAAACGAAGAGAATGAAGTTCTTGTATTCTCCTTAGATCTTGTTGGTGCATAATTAAATGAACAGAGAACGCAGAAAATATTGAAAGGGATAAAGAAGTACTAAGAAGTGAATTAAGCAAACTTCATGAGACAGAATAAATTTATATTCTTTTATTTGGCTTTTTTTTTTTATTCGAAATTGTTATTTCTTTTTTTATTTAGATTTGCTCGAGTGTTATTATCGTTAGAAATTGTACCATGTTAATAATTTTGTTGGATTTATTACAAAGTTAAGAAGCTTTTTCATTATTAATTCAGTTTGTTTTGAGTTGACGAGTTCATGGGTTTCCCGTGACATTAATTTGAGGCTTAGTTTTTTATAATTTTTTATTTGTTATTTTCTTGTTACAGTATCGTTATGCAGTAGATAAATGTATTTATACTGGAAAACGGGTTATTATGCCCTATAAGAAAATTGTACCAGATAGGTATGGGCTGGTTTCGATAGGCACAGGTCTTTGTGGCATGGTCAAGATCCGGGTATGGTCTGAGTTAGTACGGATTCAGTGGACCGTATGCCCGTGCCAATTGGACCGTAAATGGCTCGGGTTTTGCAACAGTTTACTAGTCGAATCAGCACGGAATTTGTCACAAGTAATAATATGTACTACCGAGATAACAATTACGAATATTTAAATTAATGATTATTTACATTAGTAATCAATATAGTATGGACAAACTAACTGCATATGAAGTAAAATTTTGTAAGGAATTTTTTTTCGTTAAGATACTAGAGCAGCTTCATCAGTGAAATTATGAGTTATTGCACTTTTTTTAAAAAAATCATTTATTGATCTTTCGCTCTCCGCGGAATGAGCCAACACGTGTGTAATGTACACATACGTGGCATCTGAATGTGCCGTTCTGTATGACGTGATATAACGTGCCACCCTTGCCATAATGTCTGTGCCATTTTTCACTGTACTATTCCATAAAACGTGCCTGTGCGTGCCATTTTGTATAGTACATTCCAGAAACAAACCCGAACCACAACCCAGACTACTTTTCATATAGGGATGGACTACGGTTGTGGGTTAACTCACAATTATTGTAGGCCTGGAAAATATACAGTAATGTAGTAGGCATTAGTCAAGCAAATTATATTCTTAAAATAAAAATAACATATATTGTTGTAATAAAGATAAATCGGGTAGTTTAAAGAACAAGTAACCCAGTGATTATTATGAATTATTACCCTCTTTATTATCACATATTAATTTTGATTGGTTATAAAATGTAAACAAAATTAGGTGATATGTATCAATCACATAACATATCGATATATTTGATTTGTGTAACTAATACAGCTTACAGTATGTACAGTAAAATTTTTTAACGTAGTATGAAGACAAGCTATGTTTATACAATTTGTTTTTATTCTTACTTTTGTGTTAGAATTAACATAAATTTAGATTTGAGTTAACTGAAGCGAAGTTTTTCTGGGTTTAGATTTGAGGATTAGCCGAAGTGAAGTATTTCTAATTTAGAATTGAGGATTAGTTGAAACGAAGTATTTCTGGTAGCAAAGCTAAGAGTTAGCCGTAACAAAACTAAGAGTTAGCCGTAGCGAAGCTTAAAGTTAGCTATAGCAAAGCTAAGTATATTTTTTTTTTATGATTTTTGCTTACAATATTGTTTTCCATTACTTGTTATTTTTATTTTTATTTTTTTTTATTTGTCGATTTATTTAATAATATTTATTCCCAAATTATATAAGTGTCTATTTTTAAGCTATCGATTAAAGTATTTGAAGCAGATATCTAAAGCTATCATTTCTTATTCTATATTTACTTTGATATTATCAATTGAAGCGTTGGAGATTTCAAAATTAGATTAAAAGAACTAGTGTAATTTATGTTTTTTGAACCTAATTTTATTTACTTTCAAATGTGAATGCACTTACTTATAATTATTTTTGAGGCTCACTTTTATTGTATAGAAGTAATCTTGCGAGCCTATTATCACGAATTTTAAGTGATAATATTAATATATACCCAGATCTTAATCTGCACCCGGGTAACTCTTATACGAGTACAATCTTTAGGTGGTTTTTTTTCATTAATGGATTGGATGCACCCATACTACCGGTAGTACAATGTACTACATTGTGACAGTTTTAAAGCTATTTATCTTCTAATTTAGCAAATTAAT